AAAAAAAAAAGAACAACAGATCTGAACTATGCCCTAACCAGCGCCGTCCTCACAATCTCTGACATGCTCAAGCCTACTGTTATAGTCACTGTGTCAATGCCTCTTGTTGAGGCTCTTTCCTCTCTTTCTCTAACCCTCCATCTTGCCTAACATGATGTCCTTTTCCAATAATTGGCCCCTCCTGACAAGTCCAAAGTATAACTACATGACTTATTTTATGCAGAGTAAAATGAGATTCATGGAGATAACAAACTTTCAGTAAGTTTACACAACTAGTAAATAGAAGAGGCAAAACTCAAATGTACAGTACAGCTTCAAATGCCTAATTCCTTTCAACAAGCTCTAAGAGCAACCAAAATGTGGTGGATTGGATTTATAGTGACCTTACAGACCAGAGGAGAAATGCTCTATAGATTTTGCAAAGATGTCAATAAATCTTTTATGTTGTTGTTATGTGCTGTCGAGTCACCTGCAACTCATACTGACCCTATGTTTAACTGCTCTGAAGCCTGCCCTGAGCTAATGTCACTGACTCCAATACATCTAACCTCCATTATGCCAGTTACTGTATCAAACCATCTCATCCAGGGTCTTCCTCTCCTGCAATGTCCCTCCATCCTCCCAAGCATGATGTCCTACCTGGTACCTCCTGGCCACGTGCCCAAAGTATATGTGACGGAGCCTCAAAATCCTTGCCTCTAACGGATTACTTGGTTTCACCCTCTCCAGAACAAACCTGTTTGTTCTCTTGGCATTCCATGGAATGTTCAACACTCTTCTCTAGCAACCACAGCTCAAAGGCATCGATCCTCCTCCTGTCATCCTTATTCATTGTCCTGCTCTCTGATGCATAGCAAGTAATTTCGAAGATCATGGCGTGGATCGGGTGTACCTTAAGTCTCTAGACTTTCATCGTTGTTTCTCATTACTCTGGAGAGGTCCTGATAGCAGGTTTTCCCAATGCAGTTTGTCTTTTGATTTCCTGACTGCTGAGGCCAAGAGTGTTGATTGTGGAAAACCTTACAGCTGACACATATTTCTGGAGACACAATTCAATCTATGACAACTGCAGTCTGTCTTTTTGCTGCCTTAGGGAACTCTAGTGCCTCAGTGGTAAGAAGTTGTACTGCCAACCCAAAAGAATATGGTTCATATCCAATAAATGTTCTGTGGCAGAAGGATGGGAAGTCTCCTCCTAAGCAATTTACTGCCTCTAAAAACCTGCTGGAGGGTTAGTTAACTGAGTTGGTTCCAACTCAATGAGACATAACAACAAACCTTTACAGAAATAGATCAGATACATCTTTCTTTGAGCAAGGGGCTGGTGGGTTCCAATTCCTGTTAGTACCTAAGTTAGGGACCCAAGTGTTTCTAACTGTTGTTGTTGTTATGTGCCATGGAGTCATTTGCAACTCATAGTGACCGTATGTACAACAGCCCTAAACCCTGCTCTACCCTGTGCCAACCGCATTGCCTCTGACACACCCATCCCGATTACCCCAGTCACTGAATCAATCCACCTCATAGAGGGTCTTCCCCTCCTGTGCTGTCCCTCTACCCTACCAAGCATGATGTCCCTCTCCAAGGACCTGTCCCTCCTTACAACATGTCCAAAGTATGTCAGACGAAGCCCCAGAATCCTTGCCTCCAAGGAGTAGCCTGGTTTAACCCTCTCTAGGATGGATCTGTTTGTTTTCTTGGCAGTCCATGGAACATTCAATACTCTTCTCCAGCACCACAGCTCAAAGGCGTCAATTCTCCTTCTATCCTCCCTAGTCATTGTCTAACTCTCTGATGCATAACAAGTGATTGTATCAGGCGCACCTTAGTCTCCAGAGAGACAATGTTGCTCTTGAGTACTTTAGAGAGGTCCCTAACAGCAGACTTTCCCATCGCAATACGTTTTTTTATTTCCTGGCTGCTGGTGCCAAGAGTGTTGACTGTGGAGCCAAGCAAACTGAAGCTGTGAACAATCTCAATCTCTTCACCATCCATCCTGATGCTACCGATTGGTCCAGTGGTGAGAATTTTTGTCTTCTTGACATTGAGCCTCAGTCCATACTGAAGGCTGCAGCAGTCCTTGACCCTCTGCAGTAAGTGCATGAGGTCCTCCTCAGTTTCAGCGAGCAGGGTTGTGTCATCTGCATAATGCAGATTGTTGATAGATCTTCCACCAGTCCTAACGCCACACTTCTCCTCATAGAGCCCAGCTTAGTTTCTAAGAATGGTAAAATTTACTGGGTACTGAAAACTCAAACACAAGTCAAACTCACTGCTGTCCACTTAGAAACGAGGCACAGCTGACCCTCTAGTAGGTTTTTGGAGCCTGTAAATCACATGGCAAGAAACTGCCCATCTTTCTATGGCCTGGAACAACCAGAGAGGTGAGGCCTCTGGGTCAGCGGCACAATTCCCAAGGAGAAGGCCACCAGAATTCCCTATTAGGAAGAGTAATTTACAGTACTGCTCAATGTTTATAGACCATTAACATACATCACTCATCCAAAATTAACCATGTCCATTAAATAAATAAGATCAACAATACTGTATATTTTGCTCTAAGGATTTGGAGATGTCTACATGTGATTGGATTAGACAGATTTGGAGGCGAAACTGTAAAACTGAGGTCACAATTAGAACTCAGAAATGGAGGGTTTGCCTAGAGTGATTGTGTGTGTGTGTGTGTGTGTGTGTGTGTGTGTATTTAAAAAGTAAAAGCAAACAAAACCACACTAACTCAGGTTTCTTGCTCACTTTCTGCATCAAAAAGTTTCAATACAAATGAACTCCCCTAATCCTAGATTTCTTCCAAAGGCGACGTGATTTACTTTCCTCTTCTCTGGGCTTTCCCGGTGTATTAGTTTGATGCCATTTGCCACTAAATCTAAACAAATGCCTGCCGTCGTTGCTTGGGGCACAGTCTATAAATAAAACAGCTACAGAGTCCGACTGATCATAAACAGGCTCTAGGCGATAATGAATCTCTCGTAATTAAGGCTTCTCTGGGTTCTACCCAAACCTCCCCGCCCCTCCCCGGCGGCGCACCTCGGTCTCCAGGCAGCGCATCAAGGGAGCGGTCCGGAGTCCCAGGCCACCTCCGCAGTGATGACTGGATCCCTTCGGCGGCACATCAGTGGGGACTGCGTAAACTGAGCCTTTTTTGGTTCTGTCTGCCTTTTTTGAGGGGAGCAGCGGGCGGAGTGAGCGGCTCCGGATGCGCCCCGGGCCCCGCTCCCGGGCCCCGAGCGCCCTCCCGGTCTGGCGCGTGAACTGCACTGCGGTGGTAACCGCTGGGGTAACGGCCTCGGCGCCGTGGCTGCAGGCGCGGCAGGCTCAGGGGGCGCCGGGCTGCCCCCCACACTCGGTCCATCGCAGCAGGTGGGCACAGCGGGGCCGCAGGACCCAAGGGAGTCGCGGGGCATCGAGTCCCGCCGCCCAGGATGCCGCAGGAGTCCACCTCCAGAGCCTCCTTCGCGGAAGCCCACAAGCCGCATCTCCTGAACTCAGCGCCATTCCCTCACCTGGCCTCGGCCTAGGAAACCCCGCCCGGGGGGGGAGCCACACGAGTCGGACGCCTCACATCAGCTCAAGGGCAAAGGGCAGCGGGAAGGTGGCTGACAGCTCACGCACCTGTTCAGCGGGCCCGTTTTCGGCAGTGGCAGCTCAGATGTCCGAGTCGCTGCCACCACTTGGTCCCGGAGACTCCCCAAGCCAATCCCGCCGCTGGCCGCGCAGCAGCGAGTGCTAACGGCGCATGCGCGTGCGGCCGCGGGCGGGGAAGAGGCGGTGGCGAGCGAGACTTGCAGCGCGCACCTGCAGTGGGGAGGCTCAACTGCCACAGAGGGGCGCTCTGTCGCGAGTCCAAAGTGGCGGAGCCATCAGAAAATGAGCCCTCTTCACAGGTCCTCCTGCTTGCTTTTCTTTTTTTTCCTGAGCCTCCTTTTCCCCTGCATTGATCTTTTTTTTTTTTTAAATTTTTTTTTATTTCCATTCATTCATTGTTGCACTTTTCTCCCATCCCAACCCTCCC